TATTTGGCGGCAGTTTACTGTCGGAATTTGATGCTGTAGTACACGACTTTTCATCCTTTAGTTCTCCTCTACATAAAAAATAAACAAAGAGTGCACCTCCATTACATTTAGAAAAAAGCTTATTATTGTTCGAGTTGCTATAAACTACACTTACGTTTCTTTCATTCTCCGGAGTATTCTTCTTCTTGCTGCTTCTCTTGTGGGGCATCCAGTTTTTCCTACAGATGTGTAGTAAGCTTCGTCAATTGGTCCAAGTTTGTTTGCCATAAGCTGAACATACCGTAACACTCTGGAAGGCAGCTGTCCAACGTTATGTATAGCTTCTTTTACTATGGCAAGTTCAAACATTTTGCTTGAATTTGGTGCCGTCTCTTTAGCACTTCTCGTACTGGATTCTTTTCTCTTGTTTCTTGCTTCAGATGAGCTACTCCTTTTCAGTTTCATTTCGTCATATTCCTTTGGATTGGTAATAACGGGCGTCCCTTTTAGTGCCGCCTCTAAAAATATGTTTCTTTCGCCTTCCATTTTTCTAAAGCCAATGTTCTAGTTGCATTGGGACATGATAAGCAACCTGTATTTATACTCATATTGTGAACGCATATTTTTATGACTCATACCAAGGTGACAACTAAATAATTTCTCAAAGGATCAACAATCATACGATGCAATTTGGTCCATTCTTCTTCGACGTCTACTTTATTCAGCGGCAATAGTCTAATCACTAGCTCTAATCAGGAACACAAACAAATGCTGAAAAATTTGTCAGCTTTACTAAAAAATCCCATTAAAGTTGACGAAAAGATAAATTATGTGTATTGTTGTTGTCACATGTTTTTCAGGACAAATGGGCCAATACCTCTTTTGTATTCTTGGTACATCTTTTTGTTAATCTCCGATAGACTATAAACCTTCGTTCATAATATTTACAGGACATAACCTTTGAAGGTCTGCCATGACTCCTCCCGTTTTTCCGTCCTTTTTCAGTAATACTGTCTTTATAGTTCTTGGCCTTTTGAAAATTCTGAAATGGAACAACAACAACTTTCCACCTTTTCCAATGAATTTCATGAGTCAAGTAATCTTCTTGCTCACGTGTCTTATTAATGTCTTAGATTCATACAGTCTTGGTAACGTCCTTGATCGCCTCGGTCTTTCTGGACTTCCAGAGCCTAATGGAGGTCATGATTACTACAGCAAACTTGCTTTGGCTCCCATAAAATTCTGGTACCTTACTGGTGRGACAKTGGAAACATTTGAAGAACTTTTTGTCGAAATGAGATGGCCAATCATTTTATATGACCGCGCAAACCGTSGCAGGATTCGAGTTCAACGATTAAACATCAAAAACAGACTACTCCTTGTACTGATATGGTTACGACGATATCCAAGGTTGCAGACCCTTGGAGCGAAGTTCAGAGTTGACCTTACTTATACCAATAAAACAATACATAATGTCGTTCCTCTTTTACTTGACCACTACACAAACGAAGTTCGATGGCGCACAATAGCGGAATGGAATTCATGGGTGGGATACTGGGAGAAGTATCCTTCCTGTGTTGGCATCATCGATGCAACAATTCATGAAATATGGAGGCCGTCCTTAAGACAGGCAAGTTTTTACCGCGGTGACAAGAAGAGGCATTTCATGTCAAGCCACATAATCATAACGCCAGATGGATTGATTGTTCACTGTTCAGCAGCGTAAGCATTTTAATTTTATACTTTTTTTTTGTGTGTTCGTGATAAGGATGTCGGTTTATTTGACATGAGAAGAAAGATTTAAATATGTTATGTTATGAATCTATTGAGTAATTTATAATGGTGTTATCGCCCAAAAATTAGCATCATCATCATTGTCATCAAATTTCTTCTCCTAGATTTCTGGACACCTTAATGACATTAACGGATTTAATATGATGCCCGATATTGGCTGGCGATGCAATCTCAATTTACCAGCAGGTTGTTATATTATCGCCGATAAAGGTTACCCTCCCCATCCAGTACTA